GGTGAGAAGTTCTCAAAGATGTCTAGCTTAACTAAGGTATTATTTTAGCCTATTTTCAAAGTTTAAACAGCTCAGTGTCATTGGGTCTTCCTCTCTGAGTTATGTTTCATAACTCTGAAATCCAAGTACCCATTCTCATTACTCTTGAAGAAAGAAATGATCCACCCCATGGTCCTAGTATCCTTTCTTATTGTCGTTCAGTCGCTAAGTTGTGTCCCACTCTTTGCAACCCCATGAACTGCAGCACTCCAGGCTTCCTGTCCTTCACTATCTTCCTGAGTTTGCTCAAATTCATGTCCATTGAGTCAGTGATGCCATTCAGCCATCTCATCTTCTATCGCCCCTTTCTCCTCTTTCCCACAATCTTTCCCAGCATCAGGGTCTTTTCCAATGTGTTGGTCCTTCGTATCAGGTGGCCAAAGTATTGGAGCTTCAGCTTTAGCATCAGTCCTTCCATGAATATTCAGGGTTGATTTCCTTTATGATTGACTAGTTTAATCTCTGTGATGTCCAAAGGACTCCCGAGCATCTTCTCTAGTACCACAGTTTGAAAACATCAGTTCTTCAGCACTCAGTCTTCCTTATAATCCAGATCTCAGCCTTCTTTATGGTCCAGCTCTCACACATCCATGTCATCCCACATGACTATGGGAAAAAATCACAGCTTTAACTATATTGACCTTTGTAGGCAAAGTGATGTCTCTGCATTTTAATACACTGTCTAGGAGAAGGCAATGGCACCCGACTCCAGTACTCCTGCCTGGAAAATCCCATGGACGGAGGAGCCTGGTAGGCTGCAGTCCATGGGGTCACAAAGAGTCGGACATGGCTGAGCAACTTCACTTTCACTTTTCACTTTTATGCATTGGAGAAGGAAATGGCAACCCACTCCAGTGTTCTTGCCTGGAGAATCCCAGGGATGGGGTCGCACAGAGTCGGACATGACTGAAGTGACTTAGCAGTAGCAGCAGGTTTGCCATAGCTTTTCTTCCAAGGAGCAAGTATCTTTTTTTTTCATGGCTGTAGTCACTGTCTGTAGTGATTTTGAAGCCCAAGAACATGAAATCTGCCACCGTTTCCACTTTTTCCCCATCTATTTGCCATAAAGTGATAAGAATGGATGCCATGATCTTTGTTTCTTGAATGTTGAGTTTTAAGCCAGCTTTTTCACTCTCCTCTTTCACCTTCATCAAGAGGATCTTTAGTTTCTCTTCACTTTCTGCCATTAGAGTGGTATCAGCAGCATATCTGAAGTTGTTGTTATTTCTCCTGGTAATCTTGATTCCAGCCTGTGAGTCGTCCATACAGCATTTCACATGACATATTCTGCATAGAAGTTAAATAAGCAGGGTGACAATATACAGCCTTGCCATACTCCTTTCCCAGTTTTGAACCAGTCTGTTGTTCCCTGTCCAGTTCTGACTATTGCTTCTTGTCCTGCATACAGGTTTCTCAGGAGGCAGATAATGTGCTCTGGTATTCCCATCTCTTTAAGAATTTTCTCCACAGTTTGTTGTGATCCACACAAGTCAAAGGCTTTAGAGTAGTCAGTGAAGCAAAAGTAGGTGTTTTTTTTTTAACTCCTTGCCTTTTCTATGTTCCAGTTTATGTTGACAATTTGATCTCTGGTACCTCTGCCTTTTCTAAATTGACCCTGTACATATGGAAATTCTTGATCCACATACTACTGAAGCCTAGCTCAAAGGATTTTGAATATAATCTTGCTAGCATGTGAAATGAGTGTGTTTGTACAGTAATTTGAACATTCTTTGGCATTGTCTTTCTTTGGGACTGAAGTGAAAACTGATCTTTTCCAGTCCTGTGGCCACTGCTGAGTTTTCAAATTTGCTGGCATAATGGGTGTAGCACTTTAACAGAATTATCTTTTGGGATTAGAAATAGCTCACATGGAATTCCATTATCTCCACTAGCTTTGTAGTGATGCTTCCTAAGGCCCACTTGACTTCACACTCCAGAATGTCTGGCTCTAGGTGAGTGACCACACCATTGTGGTTATCTAGGTCATTAAAAGCTTTTTTGTACAGTTCTTTTGTGTATTCTTGCTACCTCTTCTTAATATTTTCTGCTTCTGTTAGGTCCTTGCTGTTTTTATCCTTTATTGTGCCTGTCATTGCGTAAAATGGTCCCTTGGTATCTCCAGTTTTCTTAAAGAGATCTCTTGTCTTTCCCATTCTATTGTTTCCCTCTATTTCTTTGCATTGTTCACTTAAAAAGGCTTTCTTATCTTTCCTTGCTATTCTCTGGAACTCTGTATTCAGTTGGGAATATCTTTCCCTTTCTCTTTTACCTTTCACTTCTCTTCTTTTCTCAGCTATTTGTAAGATCTCCTCAGACAACCACTTTGCCTTCTTGCATTTCTTTTTCTTGGGGATGGTTTTGGTTACCACCTCCTATATAGTGTTATGAACCTTGGTCCATAGTTCTTTCTTATGACATTGCTATTTGCTAAAGTCGGAGGATAAAAAGTATGTGAATAACTGAGAACAATCTGCCTCAAAGTGTGTATTGAATCAACACCATGTTGGTGCTTTATGTGAATTACCAAGAAGAACAACAACAATAACCACCACCACCACTTGTGGTAACCCAGTCATTCACCTTAATACCTTGGCATAATCAGGTCACTTCCTCTTGATAGTAACCCATGGGTTAAGGGCTGTTCTTTCCTTGTGCTACAGATGAGGCCAGCAAGTCACACAAAGGTCAGTGGCTGAGCCAGAATTCGAACTTCAAGCAATCTGACTGCAGAGCCTTCCCTCTGAACTTGATTAAGTTTATATGACAGGCCCTCAAGATGGGTCATGGTGTCCCCATTTTGCAAATGAGAAGCCGCGACTCCGGTTAACAACTTGCAGTAACTTCTCACACACCTGAGAAGTAGCGAAGTTTGATTTTAAACCCTGATTCCAAAACCCTCCTCAGGCCTTTCCCACTGAACCATCTTTCTTACACTGCAACGCATTCCTTTGTGTTTAGGACTTTATTCGCTTCAGGAAGAGCTTACAATTGGCCAATAGACAGATACTTAAATGAGCCTGCAGCACATTCCTCTGGGTTCTTTTTGCACAGGAAGCTACCTGTTTAGCTTGCATGCTTCATTGTGTGAATGCTTCAATACAAGCTACCTCTCTTTGTAAATAGCTGTAGGAATAAGCTTCCCAGTTCCTTCCTGCCTCAGAACTTTACTGCTGTCCCTCAGCTTGGAAGACTTTGTCCCGAGATCTCTGCAGGGCTGACTCTTCTCAGGTATCCGATCAGATGTCATCACCCCTGTGGGGCTAACCCTGACTCCCTGTATTTGTTTCCTAAGGCACAAAAATTTACCCAAAACTGGGTGGCTTAGAAAAACAGGAATCTATTTTCTTATCATTGTGGAGGCCAAGAGTCTCAAATCAAGGCTTTGGCAGAGCCATGCTTCCTCTGAAGCCCTGAGGGGAAAATCTTAGAGTTTCTAGTGGCCCCATCCATTCCTTGGTTTGTAGCAGCATAACTCCACTCTCAGTGAAAAAGGTGGTAAAACTTAAAACTTCACATTAAGAAAACTAAGATCATGGCATCCGGTTGCATCACTTTATGGTAAATAGATGGGGGAACAGTGGAAACAGTGAGAGACTTTATTTTGGGGGGCTCCAAAATCACTGCAGATGGTGACTGTAGCCATGAAATTAAAAGACTCTTGCTCCTTGGAAGAAAATCTATGACCAACCTAGACAGCATATTAAAAAGCAGAGATGTTACTTGGACAACAAAGGTCCATCTAGTCAAGGCTGTGGTTTTTCCAGTAGTCATGTATGGATGAGAGAGTTGGACTATAAAGAAAGCTGAGTGTCAAAGAATCGATGCTTTTGAACTGTGGTGTTGGAGAAGGCTTTTGAGAGTCCCTTGGACTGCAAGGAGATCCAACCAGTCCATCCTAAAGGAAATCAGTCCTAAATATTCATTGGAAGGACTGATGCTAAAGCTGAAACTCCAATACTTTAGCCACCTGATGTGAAGAACCGATTGCTTGGAAAACACCCTGATGCTGGGAAAGATTAAAGGCGGGAGGAGAAGGGGACGACAGAGGATGAGATGGTTGGATGGCATCACCGACTGAATGGACATGAGTTTGAGTAAACTCCGGGAGTTGATGATGGACAGGGAGGCCTGGCATGCTGCAGTCCATGGGGTTGCAAAGAGTTGGACATGACTGAGCGACTGAACTGAACTGAACTGAACTCCACTCCACTCTCTGCCTCAGTCTTCATATAAACTGCTACTTTGTATTTCTTCCCTGTCTTTTCTTCTAAGAACACTTGTCATTGCATTTAGGGCCTACCTGGATAATCCAGGCTGATCTCATCTCAGCATCCTTAATTATATGACAGGACTGTTTTCCCAAACAAGCTTTCCTTCACAGGTTTGTGGTGGGACAGGGGGAGCGGTGGTGTATCTTTGGCGGGGGGAACACAGGGTGCCATTCAACCTGCTCTAGGAAAGCCGTGCTGCTCTAATAAAGCAGCCTTTGCTGATGTCATGCTCTGTGGCAGCATCACCCAGTTTAATTTTTTTCACCGTCTTTGTGCTTGTTTGATTCATCTTGTTCATTTGTCTACTCTGTTGCTTATCCCTGCCTACTTGAACTACAGCTTTATGAATAAAGAGCTGTCTTATTCATGGTAGTGTAAGTAAGGATCACCAACTATTTGCTGAATGAACAATACCACTAGTCAAATGTGACATCAGCTTGGCTCTCTGATCCTTTCAACAATTTCCAGGATTTTCTTTTTTGATATTATTTATGTTATTTGAATTTCACTTGCATATTTTTGGAAATACAAGTATATTATGGGATATATATTAAACACAATAGACAAATATCCAATATATATGCTATCATTTCAGTATAACACTTAAGTTCTAATTGTCTTAATAGTTCATTTGGCTTTAACTTTTCCCCCATGAGCAAATCTTCAGAAGAATATTTCTTTCTCCCATAGGCTCTGATCACCTCCGGGAGAAAGATGGCCTCTGGGCTGTCTTGGTCTGGCTCTCCATTATTGCTGCCCGGAAGCAGAGTGTGGAGGAAATTGTCCGAGATCACTGGGCCAAATTTGGCCGCCACTACTATTGCAGGTGAGAAGGCCAAGGGTCTCCATATGAACCTTAGGAAATTCCTTAGAAAAGTTTTTTTTTTTTTTTAATGGTCTAGAATCTTCTGAAGGAAGCATCTTTCAGGAAGATCTGAGGAATACAGAGGCTGGAGCCAGATAACCCCTGAGAGGAGGTTGGGGGTGGTATCAAGGTAGTTCCAAATTAGAGGATACAACTTTCCCTACCTCTGGTGACACCCGTCTGTAATCTTTTCATCAGTGCCTATACAGTGGGCAGCCATCCTGAGATGAAATTTGAACTGCAGAACCTTGAAAGGTCCTCTGGCGGCCATTAAAGTTGTCCAGTCAGACCAGGGGTTTTTCTTGTTGGTTTTCCACCTATACTTATCAAGGAAATGGGGGAAGAGACAGAAGCTGCCACAGGTTGGGGTGGTTTTTGTAATCCTCTCCCTACCTTTCTTTGTCTTACCTCCCCACTAATGGTCCACACAGTGACTATTAGTGGGTTGGGAGTCTCAACTACCTTCCTGTTGTCGAAGTAAGCGAGGGGGAGAGTCTACTGGCTTGTGGCTGCCAGCTAGATATGTGTACCTAGAGATGCTATTTGTTTATAAATAGTACCAAACCATGGTTTAGGAGGAGCAGTGGTCTTAAAAGATGTTAACTGTGAGGGTGTGGAATTAGGACAGATAATCTTTGGGTAGTCTCAGCAGCTCTCAGTGTATTAAAAACAGACACTGTGCCTCATTTGCTTTGCTTATGAATAGTTAACTACTTGGATGTTTGGTTGCATTTCAAGAGCTTAAGGGACAGAAAGCAAGCTTTAGACTTCCCTTATAAGGTGATTGTTTCTTCTCTTAAGAGGTCATTTACTTAGATAAACATCAGAGACTAAGGAGGCTTGCGATATTACTCATTAAAATCAAAGAGGCTGCAGCGCTCTGAGAAATGGAGACAGCCTCACATTCTTGGTTCCTATCTAGTTAAGAAGGCTAAGGGTGTGACAGCCTGCAAATCATCTCGAATTATTCATTGTATTATAAAATAAGAACTGTAAAGGCAGGTAGGAACTTGTTGTATTCTCTAGTATTTCTAACAGCTGCCCAAAATCCTGATTCTTGTGGGCTTTTTTGGCATACCAGAGGGGCCAGCTGGCACAGAAAACCCTTTTATTGTCTGAAGCTGTGCCATAAAATCCAACCTGATAAAATATATTTTGATTGCCAACCTCTGGTTTAGTGAAAGCGCTTTGAGTCAGGGATGTGTTCCTCATAATTTGTGGAATGATTATCTAGCTTTCTGCCAGCATTTTGAAGACATGGTGTTATGATAAGTGTGTTTATAATACAGTTCATTTTTTTGTGGCCAAGAGCTTACATGATAGTTACTTTTTTCATAACAAATACCATATTAGAGAATATAATGCAGTGGAGATATAAATTCTTGTAGGGCATTCAATTATGATTCAGGTTTCTGTCCAAAGAGATCACAGAGATAAAGAAAAAGGGAGGAGGGAGTAGGTAAAATGAAAGCAAACATTTCCTCCAGCCTCTGGGAAAGGTAGGTTGCAATGCTTGTGAAGGAGAACTATTTATAGCTTGTTTTCTTAGTGGGCAGGAGACAATCAAATTTGGTTTAACTGATACTGAGCCTGAAGTTGTATCTGAGAACCCAGATGATTTTTCCAGTATGAGTGGACCCCAGAAAGAATTCTGCATTTTAAAATTTCTTTCCTTGAACGTGTGTTGGTAGTGGTGATGGTCAGAGGTGCTTGTTTGGGGAGTGAGGGGAAGTTGTGGTAGAACTTACTCATGTATGAAGATGAGTGTTGGGGCAGCTGGTCTGATGATCTCAACCATGGCTGAACGTGACCTGTCACATTCGTGTATTTTCTCAACTTCTAAGACTCTTTCAAAGCCTCTCTATCTCCTACTAGACCCTCTTATCCCATCCTCATACCCTTTTCTGCTTGTTGGGTCTTTACCTTCCCAACAATGTACTGATAAAGAGAATCTAGGCATAGAACACATGCTGAGAAAGAATGTTCTGAGAGAGTTCCCTGTTGTTTTGTTTCTGAGGCTGGGAGGACACATCTTCTGTAGGAGGGAGAGAATAGAAGAAAGGGATGTAGGTGCAGGGGACCCATTGTTAGACATGTTGGTCAGTAACCTGATGTTTACTGAAGTCTCAAAAGATCTTGTGTGGAGAAAAACTGTCAACTATTCAGATCTTCCCTCTTTAGCTCACTGTCATCTTTCCTGTGTTAAAGAGAGCCCAAATTTGAGATCCCACCACTTGAGCACAGCTGCCCCTCCTAGGGTTTCCTTCTTAAACAGACCTCCCTGGGTATGCCATTAGGACTTGGTCAAACCCATCTGACACTGGGAAAGACCCTATAGTTTCTTTATGACAGTGACTAAGAATAAAAGTAAGAGCTTTAAGCACCAGTGTCTGGCATTGTGCCAACTACCTGGTATGTATTATCCTATTTAAACCAGCAACAACAAATGAGATAGGTGTTATTTTTAGTCTTTTTTCCCCCCTCTAATCACCTCCCAGCCCCATTGTTATATGTGATGTTCTTGGCTAGGAGGACCTTTTTTTTTTTTAATGGAACAATTGTAATACTTCTTCCAAGTTTCCAAGAGAATTTTATGGTACATTGAGTTCCCTTCCCCATCTCTCTTCCCTGCCTTGGTTCCTCTCTTTCTTCCCTTTCTGCCTTCACCTCCTCCCATATTCATTCCAGTGCTTACAAAAACCACTACTTATCAGAAGCAACAGAGAACAACACAGAGTAGATCTCTGCCCTCCTGGAGCTTACAGCTCTCATAGGCAAAGACAAAAAATAAGCAAATTAATATATAAACAAAGCAAATACATATTGGGATAACTACCAAAAGAAGATGTAAAGGATGATGAGCGACAGGGAGAGATAGAGGGGAGATGCCTTAGATGTCTTGTCAGAGAAAGTGTTTCTGGAGGTGACAGTAAATCTGAAAACTGAAGGAAGGAAATGCATCAGCTATTGGAATAGCCTGGAGAAGACTGTACCAGGGAGAGGAAACAGCAAGAGCAAAGGCCCAGAGGGTGGAGCATCTTTGAGGACTGGAGAGGAGGCCTGTATGGCTGGAGCATAGTGAACAAGGGCCAGAGTGAGACACAGCCAAGTCAAGGAGGTGGGCATGGCATATCCCACAGTACTTTATAGACTGTGGTCAGTGTTTCAAATCTTAATCTCAAGATGATGGGCACTTTTGGAGGAATTCAAAGGAAAGGATGGCCATGATTTAATGTTTACAGGATGCTGCTGCTGCTGTGTGGAGAATGAGTGAGGGACTGGGGGAAGAGGTTGACCAGCTGTGGGTTCTTTTCTGTGCTGTTCTTCCACGGAAACAAAACCAGTGATTAGACAACCTTGAGAGGCCCACCGGGTTGCTGTTTCTCTGATTAGATTTGTCTTTAGCCTGTGTCCTGTCCCCCCTCACCAGGTTTGACTATGAGGGATTAGAGCCCAAGACGACCTATTACATCATGAGGGACCTGGAGGCCTTGGTCACAGATAAGTCCTTCATCGGCCAGCAGTTTGCTGTGGGGAGCCATGTGTACACTGTGGCGAAGACAGACAGCTTTGAATACGTGGACCCTGTGGATGGCACCGTGACCAAGAAACAGGTACCTGCTAGGACATTGCCAGAACAGGTTATCAAATGATGAGGGGCTGGGGGAAATGCAAAATGTCCTACAACTGGAGAGGTCTTCAGGGACAGTGTACTGTGAGCCCTTCATTTTATGAACGAGAGCCCTGTAGCCAGCGGAGAGGAAAGCCCTTGGTGAAGATTACCTACCTACTTAATGGCAGTGGGTGGATTAGAACACAGGGCCCTGGCTCTCTGTCCGGTCTTCTTTCCACCTGGTAACTGATAGGCCTCAACACCATGAATAGATTTAGACCCAGCATTTCTCCCTGAAATATGTGCAGCCTGAGTCTGTCTTTGTAGTGGCCATGATGGGTGACAGATTCAGAAAAGTTTCCAAGAACAGCAGAATACTTTTCCTTGGGACCGCTGGGTGCAGGGATGTTTCACCTTTTATTACCTTATGTCTTTGAGGAATGAAGGGAGCTTAGCCAGATGGGTTTGTTACTCCTGATAGGGGAAGAAAAAATTAGAAAATCTGCCCCACAAACCCAAAAAGAAGATCTATGGTTGAGAAGTATCATGAAAGATAAGTGGCAAAATTGACCACAATTTCTTCTGTGATCTCATCTCTGTGAATTGTGTAAGAGACATGGAAAGCGATTATAATTATTTTTCTTCTCGATTTTGGCAATGTTGGTCACTCTGGGAGCATATTTTATCACTTATAGTCTGAATAAGACATTCTGGGTAATGTTAAGTAAAGTTCCATTCTAAAATTCTCCAGTTTTTAACCTTCTTATACATGCTTCATCAAGTACAGACAACAAAATAAATCAGATGCTGCAGTTTGAGGGGACTAGATATAATGGTAGATATTGCTGTTTTTACTTTGACTAGTGTTTTATACTTAGTCCTTGCCCTTGGGTCCTCTGACTTGCTGATGTTCCAAAGCCCAGTGCCCTGCTGTTAACTCTGGTTATATTCTTGGTCTAGTCTGCTTTAGTTTTACAATGATCTTTCACCTCTTTCAAAATGTCAGTCTTTTATTCTAGAAGGCCTTCCATAGCTGGACAAATTCATCACAGTCTTACTTTAGAAAGGTGTAGGATACTGTAAAAACTAGTGGTAAAGAAGTTTGAAGACCTAGAATTGAATCCTGCTCCTGCCACTTACTAGTTGGGAGAGTTGTTAGATTTCTTTGGTCTCTGGTTTCTTTCTCATCTGTAAAACATCTGTGTCACAGAGTTGTTTTAGAAATAGAATGAAATAACATATACAAAAACTCCTAGCCTTCATACAGGGAGTGCACCATGCATCTTTCATGATTGTGATTTGTTTTGCACAAGAATGCTTTCTTGTAGACTGGATTGAATTCTCTTCAGAATGATACCAGTGAGTCCTGGAGATGTGTAGCCAGGAGCTCAGCACATCTTTGAACCTCCATGCCTCAGATAAAAGTCTGTTCCAGTTTTGTACCATATTCTCACTTCTATTTCATACAGAGTCCTCAGAACAAATTTCCCTAATCTAAGACTCATTTTTTTGTTGTTGCTATAGAACTCAAGAGTTGTAAAATACATGCTTTCTAAAGTATCCCTGGTAAGTTTTTTCTTCCCCGATGAGGCAGGCTTGAAAACCATTCCTTGAAGGGATTGTCTAGTCATTGGTAGGTTCTGAACTCAATCTCCTTATGCAAAGCTTGACCTCATTTGTTTTGCTGTTAAATCTACTAACACTCTGTTTTGTTTCTTCTTCAGTGCCCTCAGCAATTGGGTGCTTTTTTTTTCTGACTCCTCCTTAATCTTTCATATCAGGCTAATTCCTCAACTGGATCTCAAGTGTGGCCTTTGATTTATTACTCCATGTCTCTCCCCTTCAACCCTGAATACTGGTTTCCATTTTCACTCTAGAATTTATTGATTTTTTTCCATATTCTTTCATCAGGGCTTCCCTGGTGGCTCAGATGGTAAAGCGTCTGCCTGCAATGCAGGAGACCTGGGTTCAATCCCTGGGTCAGGAAGATCCCCTGGAGAAGGAAATGGCAACCCGCTCCAGTACTCTTGCCTGGAAAATTCCATGGATGGAGGAGCCTGGTGGGCTGCAGTCCATGGGGGTTGCAAAGAGTTGGACACGACTGAGTGACTTCACTTTCACTTTCATCTGAGCTCCATGGTGACCACAAATACTATCAGAACCTGCTCTTGGGAGTTTTAGTAATGAAGGAAGGGTGATCATTCATCTTCCCAGATTCTAGGACCCAAGTGATGCCTTCATCAGCTGGTGTCTCAGAGTCACACTGGAGCTTCCTGCGGGTCTGGGTTGGGCTCATTGGGGGTTTTGGGAGATCAGTTAACACTCAGGTTCATACCTATTGTCAGCAAATCATAGATGGTTCTTTCACCACACATGGTCCTGTTGGCGCACAGGGGAAATTCCTCCACAGGTGGGGCCAATGCTAAGCTTTCACTCCTGGGGCCTTTGTCTCGGAATTCCTGGGATGTCAGGATTATCAGCATTCACTTCTGGGGACAATTGAGGCTGGGGAAATTGAGGCATGGTTGCAAAATACACTATCTATTCCTGAAAGACATATTTAACTTTAAATAAACCTGTATTATTTTAAAATAGCTATAAAATAGAATGCTTTGGTGCATTTATTCAATAGATAACCTCTTGTCAGTTCAGTCGCTCAGTCATGTCCGACTCTTCATAACCCCAGGGACTGCAGCACGCCAGGTCTCCCTGCCCATCACCAACTCCCAGAGTTTACTCAAACTCATGTCCATTGAGTCGGTGATGCCATCCAGCCATCTCATCCTCTGTCATCCCCTTCTTATTCCGCCTTCAATTGTTCCCAGCATCAAGGTCTTTTCAGATGAGTCAGTTCTTTGCATCAGGTGGCCAAAGTATTGGAGTTTCAGCTTCAGCGTCAGTCCTTCCAATGAATATTCAGGACTGATTTCTTTTAGGATGGACTGGTTTGATCTCTTTGCAGTCCAAGAGTCCTCAAGAGTCTTCTTCAACACCACAGTTCAAAAGCATCAATTCTTCAGCGCTCAGCTCTCTTTATAGTCCAACTCTCACATCCATACATGACTACTGGAAAAACCATATTTCTTGAGAGCCTACCAAATGCATAATATTGGTTTTTCTCATGGTGCAGTTTTTTTTTTTACTGAAGTATAGTTGATTTACAATGTTGTATTAATTTCTGCTATACAGAAAATTGATTCATTTATACACACATGTACATTCTTTTTTAAAATATTATTTTCCATTATGATTTATCATAGGATACTGAATATAGGTCTTTGTGCTATACAGTAGGACCTTGTTATTATCCATTCTGTATATAATAGCTTACATCTCCTAACCCTAGTGGTGCAGTTTTTTAATATAAATTTATAACAGCTTCACTGAGATAAATAATTCACATAACATGCAATTCACCCATTTAAAGTGTATCATTCAGTGGTTTGCAGTACATAAACTTGTGCAGCCGATGCCATTTGCTGGCTGGGTGATCTTAGGCAAGTTACTCAACTTCCCTGTGCCTTTCTCTCTTACCTGTGGAGATAGGAATAGTAATTGTGGCTGCCTCATACAGCCATTGGGAGAATTCAATCAGATAATACATATAAACTCCTAGTATATAATACACATTAATAAATGATTAACTAAAATAACATATTAAAAGAGCATCCTTAAAAAAATAAAAATAAAGAGATTATTTAAGTCAGCAAACATAAATAAATAAATAAAAGAGCATCCTTGGGAAAGCAAGATTTTAGCATTTAATGAACTATGCATGCATGCTAAGTTGCTTCAGTTGTGTTCGACTCTTTGTGACCCTATGTTCCTTGCCAGGCTTCTCTGTTTGTGATAAGAAAAGCAGGGGAAAGAATTCAACAACATGCAGCTTTGCAGGGTGTCACGTGAAGACATGGGAAAGCCCCTCAGTTTCTGCGTTATCTGTGAATTGATTCAAACTCACATTTCTCTGCTTCCCCCAACATCCTCTGTGCTCTGTCACACACACACTTCACTTCAAAAAGAAAAAGGATTTTTAAGGCAGCTCTGTGTTGAGGTCAGAGTCAGGGAACAGACCGTGGGAAAATAAAGTTTTTTCACATGTATCTCTAGAGATAAAGAAGAAATGTTTCTCCATTGAAAATGAAATTAAAATCCTGTTCTGGCGATATACTACCCCACCCCCACCCCCATCCTCTCCACTGCTCTGAAAAAGTTCAGCAGAGTCTGTCCTGCCTGTGAGATCTTGTGGAGGTCAGTCAGGGAGCAAGAAGGAGGGACTCCCCTTACCTGTGGCTAAGACTCTGCATCCCCAGTGCAGGGGGCCTGAGTTCAATTCCCAGTCAGGGAACTAGATCCCACGTGCTACAACTAAAAGATCCTGGCACAACCAAATAGAAAAAAAAAAAAAAAAAGGAGCAAGAAGGAAACCCCTCACATGAATTCCCAGGGACTTCACTGACCTTACTGTGGCCTGTCAGATCTCATGGAATTTATTATGGCTGCTGCCAAGAGAAAAGTTGATGTGTGCCTTCCACTAAACAGGACCCAAGAGAGACTCTGATTTAGAAATAGCAATTGAATGAGGTATGGTTCAATGATAGAAGCTCATCCTTCGTGGTCCCAATAGGATATGTCACTGGTTATTTTCTGGTTGGTAAAATCTAGTAACATGAATGAATTATGATGGTTTCTTCAAGTGCAAGTGGAAAAAATAGCCAATAACTAGCTACTCTAAGAATAGGGGTATAGTTGTTGATTAATAGTTGCATAGAGTGGCCCAGTCTTTTCTCAAGGATGGATTCATTATGCAAATACCAAGATTTTCCCTGGTGTTTGGCATATTCTCTCTTCCCTCAATAGTCACTATCCTGGGGATACCCAGATTTTCTTTCACCGTTGTCCTTCCTCATCTCCTCCTTATAGCCCCAACTATGAGACTCTCCTGGATCTGGGAGAAGGAGTGCTCCAATTCCAGTTCTGTGAAAGAAAGACAACTTGACA